ACCTGCACTTTCCCCCGCCACTGCCCACTCCCCTGGACCCTGAGGAGACAGCCTTCCCCAGCCTGAGTGGGGGCAGCAGTACCTCCAATTTGACCCACACCATGACCCACCTCGGCATCAGCGGGGGCCTGGGCCTGGGCCCGGGCTCGGGCTATGATGTGCCAGGTGAGTGGCTGTCCTGGCTGGAGGGGTGACGGGGTGGGGGGCTCGGGCCCCCAGGAGCCTCCTGTGACTGCCCACACCAGTCCTGCCCAGGATTCCCTCACGGCAGATGGGGTTTTTCCTGGAAAGGTGATGGAGGGCAGCCCCCAGGTGGGCCGTGCCAACCTCACTGTCAGGGACAGAGCAGGGAGGACGTTGTGTTGCCACCTTCATAGTCTGGTCGCTGCTCTCCGTCCTGGGCAGAAAGGGGTCCAGCTCCCATCAGTAACGTGGGCATCTCTGCTTTTTGTCTGTGCAGGACTTCACTCCCCTCTCAGCCACCCATCCCTGCAGTCCTCCCTGAGCAACCCCAACCTCCAGGCCTCCCTGAGCAGCCCCCAGCCCCCGCTCCAGGGCTCCCACAGCCACCCCTCCCTGCCTGCGTCCTCCCTGGCCCGCCACGCACTGCCCACCGCCTCCCTGGGCCACCCCTCGCTCAGTGCCCCGGCCCTCTCCTCCTCCACTTCTTCCTCCTCCGCTTCATCTCCCGTGCTGGGCGCCCCCCCTTACCCAGCTTCTACCCCCGGAACCTCCCCCCGCCACCGCCGTGTGCCCCTCAGCCCCCTGAGTTTGCCCGTGGGCCCAGCTGACGCCAGAAGGTCCCAACAGCAGCTGCCCAAACAGTTTTCGCCAACAATGTCACCCACCTTGTCCTCCATCACTCAGGTACGCGTGGCTGCCTTCGTCCGTGTCTGTCTCCCCTCCCCCTCTCTCTCCCTGCCACACACTCCCTTCCACCTTCCTTTCTCCAGACACCCCCTCCTCACTTCTGTGCTCCTTGTCTCGGCCATCCCCTTTCATTCCTCTGTCCCTCCTGCCTGAAGAGCACAAAGCCTGGGGGAGCCGCTTCCCGGTTCACATTCCAGCCCTGCCTCTTCCTAGTGATCTCCTTGGACAGGTGCCCTGCTGGCTGTGAGCCTCGCATCCTCACCTGTAACACAAGGGTGCTTTTGTAAGGATCACAGGACCCGTGTATGGGACGTGCTTAGGCCGTGCCCACCCAGGTGCATGCCCCACAAATGGTAGCTTTTTCTCCCCCTTTTCTCCCCATGCTTCTTTCCTCGTCTGTCTGTCTCTCATGCCTTCATCCTGTCCCATTCCCTCTCCCATTGCTGTCCTCCTTCCACGGATTTCATAGAGTCAGGGGCTCTCAGACATGGAGCCTCATCTCTTCGTGTTACAGATGAGGATACTACCCAGAGGGAAAGTGCTTTCCAAGCTTACTCAGCAAGTTAGGAAGAGTTGGGAGCAGCCTGAGAACCTAGCTGAGGGCTCCTTCCTCAGTGCTGAACTGCGCGCCTCTCCCTGCCCCCGCCCCCCTTCTCTCTGCCCTCTTCCTCTCCTCCACTGCCCTTCCCTGGAATGTGTGTTCCATGTTCCTGGAGGAAAGACTAAGGCCAGGCCAGCGAGGGCTCTGCTCCCTCCCTCCTTCCCGCTCTCCCTGCCTCCGGCAGCCCACCGTGCCGGCCCTGGCCCTGGCCCTGGCCCTGGCCTTGGCCTATGGGATGTGTGGCAGCCTCCCGGTGCAGGCACGGTTTCCTCGGGCCCCGACGCCGGCCTCGCTCGCTCGCTTTCGTTCTGATACGCGCTTGAGTGACGGCCCCCGACCCCGGGGCGCCCCATGGAACACTGTCACGTCTGTGTTGAGGACGGTTGCAGCTTCACAGGGTGGGAAACCCTGACTAAGAGTTTCCCCCTGGGGCTCTACCAAGGGTTAATCTGCTCCCTTTTTCCTTGCTTCTCTTCAGGGTGTCCCCCTGGATACCAGCAAACTGTCCACTGACCAGCGGCTGCCTCCGTACCCATATAGCCCCCCAGGTTTGGTTCTGCCCAGCCAGCCGCCCACCCCAAAGCCTCTACAGCAGCCAGGGCTGTCCTCTCAGGCCTGTTCCATGCAGCCGTCAGGGGGGCAGCCCCCGGGCCGGCCACCGCACTACGGGACACTGTACCCACCCAGCTCCAGTGGGCACGGGCAGCAGTCTTACCACCGGCCCATGAGTGACTTCGGCCTGGGCAACGTGAGTACCCAGGTCTAGGAGCAGGGGAGGGCCGGGGGTGGGTCGGGGGGCTTGTGTCGTATCCCTGGTGCACTCTGAATGGGGAGATCTGGGGTGGCGGGGGAGAGCTCCTTCCCCCCAGATAGCGGAGCACTGCCAACCTGAGGCTTCTCTCTTCCTGCATTTGACCCCAATCCTGCCCCCGCCCCTAGCTGTCTCCGCACAGCGTGCTCTCTGATGCCCGCTGCTCTGACTTGTTCTCTTCCTGGCATGCACACACTCTGTCCCAGCAGGTACGGCGCCCACACCTACTCCAGGCCCCGTGCTTGCTGCTCTGCTCTGCTTGCTGCCTTCTCCCTGTCTCTGCTCCTGTTCCTGGAGTGGCGGGGGGGTGCTTTGCTGGGCAGAGGGGACGTATTTGCAGGGCAGGCAGGAGCCAATGGGACACCCTTTTCTGAAGTGCACTTCCTTAGGCTCTGTCTGTGTCCGTAGCTGGAGCAGTTCAGCATGGAGAGCCCATCAACCAGCCTGGCGCTGGATCCCCCTGGCTTTTCTGAAGGGCCTGGATTTTTAGGGGGTGAGGGGCCAGTGAGTAGCCTCCAGGACCCCCATGCCCTCAACCACCAGAACGTGACCCACTGTTCCCGCCATGCTCCAGGGCCCAACATCATTCTCCCAGGTGAGCGGTGTGGGTGGTGATGGGGCGTGGAAGGAGGGGGTGATACATTCGCTGGTGCAGCAGGGGATCCAGGGGTCCTCAAAGAGTTTACAGGGCATGGGTCTTCACCCATCTCTTCTGCCCCCACAGGAGAGTCCTCCCCAGGTTTCTCTAAGGAGATTGCGGCGGCCCTGGCCGGAGTTCCTGGCTTTGAGGTGTCGGCAGCTGGACTGGGGCTGGGGCTCGGGCTGGAGGAGGACCTGCGCATGGAGCCACTGGGCCTGGAAGGGCTCCACATGCTGAGCGATCCCTGTGCCCTGCTGCCCGATCCTGCTGTGGAGGACTCATTCCGCAGTGACCGGCTGCAGTGAGGGGAGGGGCCTCATCGGCACCCCTCTTCGCGGCCCTGCCCCATCACTGTTCCTTTCCTCCCTTCCCCCTGGCCAGTAGAGACTCCACTCTGCCCCCAGATCCTCTTTCTAACATGAACGAGGGATCCCAGGAATGAGAAAAAGCAAAGGGTTTGTCCAGGTGGCCCCTGAATTCTGCACAAGGGGTGGGCCTGGGGGAGCTCAAGGGAGGACCTAAAGCACTTGTAACTTTGAACCGTCTGTCTGGAGGTCAGAGCCTGTTGGAAGGCAGGGGTGGAGGGGAGCCCCGGAGGCAGGGCTTGCCCGGATGCCTGGGGGTGGGCAGTGCCAGCCCCTCCTCACCACTCTTCCCCTTGCAATGGAGGAGAGCGCCAGAGTGGATATTATTTTTTATTAAATATATTATATGTTAATAAAAAAATCGTATCAAACACTTGGTGTGGTTTTTTTTCTTGGGGATGCACTTGGAAATTTAGAGGATCCTTGGGGCCAGGCCCTTTCGTCTGATACGCTTTTTTCATCTTTTCATCACTGTGGCGGTTTATGGAGGGGCCCCAGCGTCAGAATTTGTACCCAGCATTGAACATGGGCGTCCAGGCTGGATGTAGGCTCCCAGGGCAGCACACATGCCCTCCTGTGCCCTCCCACCTGTCCAGGCCCTGGCTGTGAGTCGAGGGTGAGGAGGCGACTGATGGCTGAGATCACAGTCTGATGTTTCCCCAGGGGCAGCGGGCCCCAAGGATCCTCTAGCTGAGGGAGACTCCCCAGGAGGATTTCATACCAACTATGGATGCCAGGCAGGGTTGGCTCCCTCTTCCTTATGGACCTTTTAAGCCCGGAGAACCTAGAAGACAAGTGGTACTTGGCCAGCCTCTGACCTCATGCTCCCAGGTCTGTGCCCTGCTTCCTCACTGGGCGTGCATCCCCGCCTCCCTCCCTGCTCTGTTCCTCTGCCCCTTTGTGCTGTCCTGCTCGCAGCAGAGTCCCCAAGGGGCTTCCTCTTTCTGACTCAGGCTGCCAGCCTCCGGCCGGCCGTGTGAGCTTCTGCCCTCTGCTCTTCTCTGTACCCGGCAGAGGAGTGGCGGCTGTCCTTATGCCAGCCCCCCGCCCCCCTCCGCTCCACTACTTTTGCACACCCCGCAGAGCTGGCCTCTCCTCTTCCTCTTTCCAAAGGCCTCGTCTTTTTCAGAAAAGGGAACTGAGAGCTTGTGGCCCAGGCCCGCAGGGAATGCTGTGTGCCCTCAACCTGCGAGTAGGGGCGTCGCTGGGCCGGCGCAGCCGGGGCCGCCAGGGCGCGCGGCCAGGCACCCGGGCCACATGTGACCAGGCCCCGGGGCGGGACGGGCGCCCGCCGCCTGCGTGCAGGGGGCCCTCCCGGCCGCCAGGGGTCGCGCTGCAGGCGCCGGGCGGGCGCGGCGGGGTCACGGCCGGGGTGGGGGGGTGGGGGGGCCACGGAGAAAGCGGGGCGCGCGGACGAGCCCGGCGCGGCGCCCCGGCCGCCTGTCCCTCCGCCCGCCGCCGGGCGGGAGCGCGCTGAGCCGGGCGCCATGTCCGGGGCCGGGTAGCCCGCCGCCCGCCGCCCGCCGCCCGCCTCCGAGCCGCCCGCCCGCGGGCCGGGCGCCGCGGAGCCGCGGGCCGGCAGGTAGGGCCGGGCGGGCGGCGGGCGAGGAAGGGGCGCGGGCGGGGCCGTCGGGCTAGCCGGCGGCGCAGCTGGTTCCGCTTCCTCCGCCGCGGGGAAGTGAAAGCGCGGGGAGCCGGCCGGCCGGGGGCGGGCGCGCAGGTGCGCGGAGGGCGCCCCCCGCCCGCAGGCCTCCCGGGCCCCTACCCCGTCTGCTGCCGCGGCTCCCGTCCGCTGGGCGGGGGCCCGGGGCGAGGGGCGCGCCCGGGGCCCCGGCCCCGGGTGGGGGCAGGGGGAGGCGGAGGAGGGCCGCGCGGCTCCCGCGCCCACGGCTGCGCGGCCGGCCCGGCGGTCCCCCCGCCGCACGCCCCGGGGCGACTTCCGCCCGCGCAGCTTCCCCTCCGGGGTTTCGGGAAGTCCCCTCCCTTCCCCTCCCGAGCGCCCCATGCCTCCGGCCCTGTGCTGCAACCACGCACCGAGCTGCTCCCCAGCTTTGCGCCCCCGGGCTCTGGGGACCCCCGGGGCCCCCGCTCTGGGGTTGGGCCATGGCGGCAGGTGAGAACACAGCTAGCGGAGGCCCGTGGGGCGCCCGGCTCCCTCCCGGTGCTCCGCGAACGAGGGCAGATGGCCGGACTGCCTCCCACGGCGGCTTCGGACCTAACTTCAGGATCCTGGAGGTGGGAGGGCGCCGGGCTTTGTGTCGGGTTAGTGGACAGGGTAGGAAAAAGGACACTTGAGTCTGGTGAAAAGACACGAAAACTTGGGTGTCGTGGGCCTTCCCGAAACCTAGAGGTGCGCTCTTTAAGAACCTTGGCTGGATCGTGAGGTTCTGATGATGTCATCAGTAGAGTGGGAAGGTCAGAAACCCTTAAAACAGACTGTCAGGTTGGCATGATGTCATTGCAGGCCATTATAGAACGGACTGTGGTCCCCGCTGTCGGGAGTGAGGACGGGTGGGGCCTTTAAAGGGGATACAGGAGCGGTATGAGGTCAGAGCCGAGGTCAGCTGTGTGCGCGGGAGTGGAGCCGGGCTTGCTTGGGGGGAGGGCTGGTGCCGCCCGCGGGAGGGTCCTGCTCTCTTTACTTGCCTGGTGACGCCACAGGCGGGAGAGCTCAGGGTTGGCGGACCACCCCCGACCCTCCCCTCCCCTGGAAGGCCCGTGGAGAGGAGGGAGCAGAGGGGGGCCCCTTGGTTGTCTCCCTTGCTCCTCATCTCTCCCTCACTTGACCGTTACAGATGCAGTGAGTGAGGGGGGGGCCATGGCGGAGGAGCGGCCCCCCCGGCTGGTGGATTACTTCGTGATAGCTGGGCTTGCAGGGAACGGAGCCCCCATCCCTGAGGAGACATGGGTTCCCGAACCCAGTGGGCCCCTGCGCCCTCCCCGGCCAGCCGAGCCCATCACAGACGTGGCAGTCATTGCTAGGGCGCTGGGCGAGGAGGTGCCCCAGGGCTACACCTGCATCCAGTCCTCCGCGGGGGGCCACCCCTTGGAACTCAGTGCTGGGCTCCTGGGTGGAACTCAGCCCGTCATCTGCTACCGCAGGGGCCGCGACAAGCCCCCCCTCGTTGAGCTGGGGTGCGTGCCCCTCCTGTGTGGGCACCAGGGGAGGCGGGGACGGGGGGGGGGGCTGGGGTGAGGGCAGGAAGAGAGCAGGCTAGAGGCAGGGAGCAGGGGGAGGTGGTCGCGCTTAGTCACCACATGGAGTGGGTCCGGGGACTAGCGCAGCCGCTTGCTAGCTGGGGGATCTTGGGCTGGGCGTTGAGCCCCTCTGGAGAATGGGGCAAGAATACCTCTCCACAGGGTGGTTGAGAAGACTGAATAAGGCCATCTGTATGTGGGACTTGGCATGGAGTCAGTAAGTGGAAGCTTTTTCTCTTGGCATTTATGAATGAGCATGAGAGCCACGGAAGGCTTGAGAGGTTGTTACTGATCGAGAAGTAGAGCCGAGGGCAGAAAAGGAGGCACAGGATTCTGGAGGGCAGAGTCCTGCAAGAAGTGGGCCCCGGTGCCCGATGAGGCTGAGGGTGCAAGGCTGGTAGGTAGGACTCGTTGGGCAGATCTGGCAGGACTGGGGTCTTTCTCCTGAGCCCTTGACATCTGTGCCTGCTCTCCCTGTCCAGGGTCCTGTATGAGGGGAAGGAACGACCCAAGCCTGGCTTCCAAGTGCTGGACACGACGCCATACAGCCACTCGGCCAACCTGGCCCCTCCTGGCCCTGGGCACCCCCGCACCTACCTCACTTGCCGGCGGGCAGCAGAGGGGGCAGGGCTGCATGCCCTGGGCATCACTGACCTCTGCCTGGTGCTGCCCAGCAAGGGCGAGGGCACTCCTCATACTTACTGCCGACTGCCCCGCAACCTCAACCCCGGCATGGTGAGCAGGGCCCTGGGGCCAGACGCAGAGGCCTGCACTGTGCTGCTGTGAGGGCTGGGCATGGGGCTCAGAGGGCGCCCTAGCACCAGGGCCTCTGACGTCCAGGGCGGGCCCAGAGGGGTGACTCTAGTCTTGGGGGACCAGGATTATTGGAAGGTTTTTCTTTAAAGATTTTGCTTATTTATCTGAGAGAGAGAGAGAGAAAGCGAGTGAGGGGAGGAGCAGAGGGAGAGGAAAGAAAGAATCTCCAGCAGGCTCCACGCCCAGCATGGAGCCCGACATGGGGCTCGATCTCACGACCCTGAGATCATGACCTGAGCCGAAACCAAGAGATGGATGCTCAACCGACTGAGCCACCCAGGTGCCCCGGGATTATTGGGAGTTTTATTTATTTATTTATTTGTTTATTTATTTAAAGATTTTATTTATTTGAGAGAGAGAACACGAGAGGGGGGAGGGTCAGAGGGAGAAGCAGACCCCCTGCTGAGCAGGGAGCCCGATGCGGGGCTCGATCCCGGGACTCCAGGATCATGACCTGAGCCGAAGGCAGTCGCTTAACCAACTGAGCCACCCAGGCGCCCCGATTGGGAGTTTTAAAGACAAAAGACCACTAGGATGCCTAGGTGGGCTCCGTCAATTAAGTATCTGACTCTCAATCTCAGGGTCGTGAGTCCCAGCCCTGCATTTTGGGGCTCCACACTGGGCTTGGAGCCTACTTAAAAAAACTTAACTTAATTAAAGACAAAAAATCGCTAAGGGGTGGAAGAGGAAATGGAGCCTGGACGTCTTTGTTAGCTATGTGTCTGTCTCTTGTCGTTCCTGGGACAGTGGGGCCCAGCAGTATTCCTGTGCTACAAGGTGGGCCTGGCGAAGGCCAACACGCTGGTATACGAGGCAGGTGAGTCGCCCCTCTGTCCCTCCAAGCTCTTGGTCCTTCACGTCCCCTTGTCCTGGTGCCTCTTGGCTGGTAGCATCAGTGTGCCCAGAACGCACTTCGCCTTTGCCACTGGGCCCTTCTCTGGCATCTCCCGGATCCTTCCACTGGAGTCTGATCGGCCCTCCTTCTTCTGGTCCCCCCACTCTGCCGGGGGTGCAGAGCTGCTGGGCCGCTACCCAGAGGAGGACAACGAGGCGTTCCCACTGCCCGAGTCCGTGCCTGTCTTCTGCCTGCCCATGGGAGCCACTGTGGAGTGCTGGCCCGCCCAGACCAAGTACCCCGTGCCTGTCTTCTCCACCTTTGTGCTCACGGGCGCAGCTGGTGACAAGGTGGGTGTGGGGAGTGTGCGGAGGGGTCCGGGCTGTGCCGAGCCCGCCTGACGGCATCTCCTCCCGCCCCGCCCCCCGCCCCAGGTGTACGGTGCCGCCCTGCAGTTCTACGAGGCTTTCCCGAGGGCCCGGCTGTCCGAGCGGCAAGCGCGGGCCCTGGGCCTCCTGAGCGCTGTGGAGCGGGGCCGGGCGCTGGGGGGCCGGGCCGTGCGCAGCCGCCGAGCCATCGCTGTGCTGTCGCGCTGGCCTGCCTTCCCCGCCTTCCGCGCCTTCCTCACCTTCCTGTACCGCTACTCCGTCTCGGGCCCCCACCGCCTGCCCTTGGAAGCGTGAGCATGGCGGCCTGGGCCCTGGGAGGGGGTGGCGAGCGAGGGGAGGGGAGCCCGGGAGAGGTGGGAGAGGGGAGGGTGGAGCTGGGGCTGGTGTGCAGCGTGTGCCCGGGGCGGACGCCCTGCCTGAGGGTGAGCGGGGCCTGTGCTCTGAGTGCATGGGTGAAGGAGGAGGGCGGAGGACGGGGAGGACGGGGAGGGGTGGTCTGGGGAGTCTGCCGCTGACCGGTATCCCTCTCTTCCCCAGGCACATCTCCCACTTCATTCACAACGTCCCCTTCCCTTCCCCACAGAGACCCCGCATCCTGGTGCAGGTGAGAGCCAGGCCCAGCGTGGGGCTGGCTGGGGGGAGGGGGTCGGCAGGGGCCGCCCCCATTCTGACCTATGGCTCTTCTGCCCCCCAGATGTCTCCGTATGACAACCTGCTCCTCTGCCAGCCCGTGTCCTCACCCCTGCCGCTCAGGTATGTGCCCAGGTTGGGGGGGGGGCTGTGACGACCGTGGACCTGGTAGGTGCCGGGCAGGTGGGCACGGCTGCTGAGGTTGGCGCCGGCCAGGCCCTGGCGGCGTCTGCGCCATGTCTGGGGAGGGGTCTCCGGGGCATCCCGGCGACCCCCCCCCCCGCACTTCTGCAGCGGTGCCAGCTTCCTGCAGCTCCTGCAGAGCCTGGGCCCCGAGCTGGCCATCACGCTGCTGCTGGCTGTGCTCACCGAGCACAAGCTCCTGGTCCATTCGCTGCGGCCAGACCTGCTCACCAGCGTCTGTGAGGCGCTCGTCTCAGTGAGTGCCGCCCTGCCCGGCCTCCTTCCCCAGAAGGTTCTCACTGGTGCCTCCACCCCTGCCCAGACTCCACTTCTTTTTCCTTCCGGGTTCCTCAGCCTCACCCAGGGGTGTCAGGGGCTGTTCTCCGGATGCCACCTCCAGCAGCTTCCGTCAACAGGCACCCCTCCCACCCCCGGCCAATGCCCCCTCCCCCTCCTGACCCCCTCTGCTGCTCCAGCCCCCTGCTCACTGGTCCCCACTCCCTGGTGCTCCAGATGATCTTCCCGCTGCATTGGCAGTGTCCCTACATCCCGCTCTGCCCACTGGTGCTGGCAGACGTGTTGAGCGCCCCCGTGCCCTTCATCGTGGGGATCCACTCCAGCTACTTCGATCTGCACGACCCACCTGCTGATGTCATCTGCGTCGATCTTGACACCAACACGCTCTTCCAGTAAGAGGGCTGGGCATCCCTCGGGGCTGGTGTGCAGTGGGGGAGGCCGGCGAGGAGCCCCACTGCCCTTTCTTCCCTCTGCGCATCTCACAGGACCGAGGAAAAGAAGCCCCTCTCCCCTCGGACCCTGCCCCGCAGACCCTACAAGGTTCTGCTGGCTACGCTGACAAACTTGTATCAGCAGCTGGATCAGAGTGAGAGCCCCGGGCAGGGGTGGAGGCTGGAAACTGCCACTGATGTTAAGCCTCCAAGTAGGGAGGCCTGTGGAGAGCTAAACCTTCCTTGAGGAGGCTAGAGGTGTTGGGATTTCGTTTCCACGAGAGCGCGGGCCTACCGCGTTAATATTCCTATGTGTGTTGCAGGGGTGGGGGGCGAACAGGTCACTGGGGAGGCTTGAAACTGTTACCCACTGCTAATATCGTGGTCAGTATTGGCGCAAGGGGTGCGTGAGGAGCAGGGCTGCGGCCGGCCCTGACCCCGGCTGCCCTGGTCCCCAGCATACACCGGGCCCGAGGAGGAGGCGTCCTTGGAGTTCCTGCTGACGGACTACGAGGCCGTGTGCGGCCGCCGGGCGCGGCTGGAGCGCGAAGTCCAGGGAGCCTTTCTCCGCTTCATGGCCTGTCTGCTCAAGGGCTACCGGGACTTCCTGCGCCCGCTCACCCAGGCCCCCTCGGAGGGGGCTCGAGATGTCGACAACCTCTTCTTCCTGCAGGGTAGGGAGGGCCTGTGCCCGCGGCGTGGGGGGCGGGCGGGGCGGGGGGGGTGGGCGCCGCTCCCCTGCTTGTTCCTTCGCTGGGCAAATGGTTGTTGGAGGCACTGGCCGCCCCAGCGTTGGCCCTGCCCTCTGGGGGCCTAGCACTTGGGGCGAAGCGCCCCATGGGCCAGGCTCTCCCCGGGCCCTGGCCTCGGGGACCCCCAGTCTGAGGCTGTGGGTGCAGACGGACAGAAGGGAGGGCCCCATGGGACTGGTGCTCAGCGGCCGCAGTCGTCCTGCCAGAGGGACCCAAGAGAGGCCGAGCGGGTTGGTTGCTGACATCGCCCCCCCCCCCCCCCCCGCGCCCCACTCTCACCCCCAGGCTTCCTCAAATCCCGGGAGCGCTCCAGCCACAAGCTATACTGCCAGGTCCTGCGCACACAGATGTTCTCGCAGTTCATCGAGGAGTGCTCCTTCGGCTCTGCGCGGCATGCCGCCCTTGAGTTCTTCGACTCTTGTGTCGACAAGGTATCGGGCGCTGTCCCCTCCCCGTGCCCGCTGTCGCTGCCGCGAGCACTGGACCCCTCGTCCGTGCCGGGGATGCCAGCCCTGCAGCTACCCAGCGCACGTGCAGCTGCCCACGGCGGGCTTCCCGTACATACTGCCCTCCCATTGTGGACGCTGTCCCCCGGCTCTGTCTCCAGGGCCCCGGTGAAGCCCGGGCGCACGTGCTCCCTCCCTGCTGCTGTGCCTCCCGGGAAGATGCCATCTCCCGGGCTCCCGGAGGTGGCGCCTGCTGGGCCCGCTGTCTTGACGCTCTCTTACCTCCCTGCTGCAGGTGCACCCGGAGCAGGAGAAGCCTGAGCCCACACCCTTGGTGGAGCTGGAGGACCTGTCGGGGAGTGAGCTCACCGTCTTCATCACACCCCCCGAGGAGCCTCCAGTGCCAGAGGGCAGTGAATCCGCCCCCCAGTACTGGTGAGGGCCTCTTGTTCCAGGCCCCGTGGCTAGCCGAGCCTTGGCTGCTCCTAATACTGCCTCTTCCCGCCCCTCCAGCTACGATGGGTTCCCAGAGCTGCGGGCTGAGCTGTTTGAGTCCCCACGGGAGCAGCCCGGGGCGCTGCCTGTGCCAGGCCCATCCCGGAGCGCCCCCAGCAGCCCTGCCCCTCGCCGTACCAAACAGGTAACCTGGACGTGGGCCCCACAAGGGCATCTGACTCAGGCCATTTCCTCATCTGTGAAGTGGGTATGATCGTACCTACGCCTTTAGCAGGTTTCAGTGTGCCTGGCCCATAAAAAGCACGTCAGACATTAGCTGTTGGTGCTGTCCTCACCATCATCACCTTCGTCTTCTGAGCACTCCGGGAAGCCAGGGGCTCGGTGCCTCTTCCAGGGCACCTGTCCATGCTCGGGAGCTGGGCATCCCTGCCTGGGGCTCTGGGGCTGAACCCTGTGCGCAGAATCCCTCCTGCCTCCTCAGAGCACAGGCCCTTCCTTAGGGGGGAAGGCCCCGCGTCTCCCACACCATTTGGAGACCGGCCTTGGCCTGGCACCGTCCTCACGCAGGTGTCTCCTGCCCCATCCAGGAGATGAAGGTTGCACAGCGGATGGCGCAGAAGTCCGCAGCCGTGCCTGAGCTGTGGGCCCGGTGCCTGCTGGGGCACTGTTACGGGCTGTGGTTCCTGTGCCTGCCCGCCTACGTGCGCTCGGCGCCGTCCCGGGTGCAGGCGCTGCACACAGCCTACCACGTGCTGCGCCAGATGGAGAGCCGCAAGGTGGTGCTGCCCGATGAGGTGGGCAGCCGCGCCCGGCCCCAGGGAGGCCTCTGCAGCTGGGGGCGGGGGGGAGCTGGCGGGGAGCTGGGCAGGGGCTCGTAGTGTTCACTGAATATGTTCGGGGACAGCGGTGGAGCCTGGAGGGTGTGGGGCAGCGGGAAGGGCAGGTGGCCGTGCTCTGCGGTGGCCCCAGGAACTGCCCGGGACCAGTCAAGTCTGTGGGAACCGGGGGAGACGGAGACCTGGGGCTCGGGGTGGGGAGCAGGCCCCTCACCCTGTGCCTCTCCTGGCCCAGGTATGTTACCGGGTACTGATGCAACTATGCTCCCATTATGGGCAGCCTGTGCTGTCCGTGCGGGTCATGCTGGAGATGAGGCGGGCGGGCGTCGTGCCCAACACCATCACTTACGGCTATTACAACAAGGTACCGGATCTGGTTGGGTGGGACGGCAGCCAGTGCCAGGGGTGCGGAGGGGGAGGATGCCCCCCCGAGACTGGCCCTGGACAGTGCAACCAGACGCACCCCCCCCCCGACACTGGCCCTGGACAGTGCAACCAGGCCCTGCAATCACCGTCAGCCACTGGACTGTCCAAGCGCCTTAGCGCCCACACTGCGTTCCCTCCTGCGTGGTGGCTTACTCACTCGCCAGGGCCCCGACGGGGAGTCCTACCCCCTCCCAGCGGTAGCCGTGGTGGTAGCCAGTGTGCCAGGCACTGTTCCAGGCACCTCACGCGTGTTTTATCATTTCATCTTTTCTGCAGGCCTCCCCCCTTTACAGGGGAGGGGGTGGGGTTCCAGAGCGCTGCTGACTTGTCCAGGGCCCCACAGGGAGGAAATCAGGGAGTCAGGGCATGAACACAGGCATAATAATGTTTTCTGCATTCGGGTCCTTAACCAGAACACTAAACTGGTTTTTACATCAGGAAACTGATGACCAAAAAAGTGAAAAGATTTCTTCAAAGCCATATGCTTGCTAAGTAGCAGAGTCTGGATACAAAGTATCTACACGGCTTCTGGCTTCCTCCAGATCCCTCCAGGTGGCCGCTGCCACCTGCCTCGTGGGTTCTCGCGCCTGCCGAGTCATCGGCAGGACGGACCGAGGCAGGATGTCTGCAGGGGAAGGTGGACCCTGGGTCCCTGGCGTCCCTGGAACAGGCAGCGGTCATCAGGCTGGAGTCAGGGCGTGGCAGTAGGCCATCTTGATGGGCACTGTGCTTGGCAGGCCGTGCTGGAAAGCAAGTGGCTGTCCGGTACACCGGGTGGGCGCCTGCGCTGGGCCAAGCTCCGGAACGTTGTCCTGGGGGCTGCTCAGTTCCGCCAGCCCTTGAGGGAACGGCGGCGGCGGCGGCAGCAGGCGGCAGTGCAAGAGGCGGGCAGCGGCCAGACAGGTGGGTAGGGCCTGTGACGGGCTGGGGGCCGAGCAGCCAGGCTCCGGCGGGGAGAGGCACGGAGAGCTGGGGCTGGCCTCGTGGTTGGCCTCGGGTGTTCTGGGGACGGGGACGCTGCAGTTGGCCGATGACGCAGGAGAGGACGTTCTGCCTGGGAAGAGCCCTACAACCCCGCGTCCTCGCAGGGGGCTGTGTTTTGGACGAGGGGCCGGGTTTCTACCTGGCTGCCTTCAGCCTCCAACCGGTTTTTCGCAGAGCCCTGTCTGGAGCGTCGCTCCCCTACGCGCCCACTTCAGCGCCAGACTACCTGGGCCGGTCGAAGCTTCCGGGACCCAGCTTCACCCACGGGGCGCCTGGTGAAAAGCGGCAGTCTGGGCAGTGCCCGCGGGGCACAACCCACCGTGGAGACTGGCGTGGCCCACAGTGAGTGTCCGTCCGAGCCATCTCCCCAGTCGGCCCTCCTCCCCGCTTGCCAGGGAGAGAGGAGGAGAGCAGAGCCCAGGCTGGAAGGGCCCTGTGGCGCAGGGGGGGTGCTGTGGAAGCTGGGGGACCTCGCCCGGGTCGCTGTCACGGGGGGGGTGCTGTGGAAGCTGGGGGACCTCGCCCGGGTCGCTGTCACGGGGTGGGGTGCTGTGGAAGCTGGGGGACCTCGCCCGGGTCGCTGTCACGGGGTGGGGTGCTGTGGAAGCTGGGGACCTCGCCCGGGTCGCTGTCACGGGGGGGTGCTGTGGAAGCTGGGGCACCTCGCCCGGGTCGCTGTCACGGGGTGGGGTGCTGTGGAAGCTGGGGGACCTCGCCCGGGTCGCTGTCACGGGGGGGGTGCTGTGGAAGCTGGGGGACCTCGCCCGGGTCGCTGTCACGGGGTGGGGTGCTGTGGAAGCTGGGGGACCTCGCCCGGGTCGCTGTCACGGGGGGGTGCTGTGGAAGCTGGGGCACCTCGCCCGGGTCGCTGTCACGGCAGGGGGGTGCCACCGCGGGAGTCTGTGTGGTGGGCGGTTGTGTTTCCCTGGCTCTTGGAGGGCGGGTGAGGCTTCCTCTTCTCTGATTCTTCTCTGCCCTGCAGTGATAGAAGCCTTAGGGGTGCTGGAGCCCCGGGACTCACCTCTACCCTGGCGCGACGGGAGCCTCTCAGACCTGAGCCTGACCGGCGAGGAGCCGGCCCCCGGAGGCAGCCCAGAGGATTCGGGCTCAGCCCTGAGTGCCCAGTCCACTGAGACCCTGGAAGGGCCAAGTGGGCGGGCACCCAAGGCGGGCGGGCGCCAGGAGGAGGCCAGCACCCCCAGACGAGGGCTGGGTGCCCGCCTGCAACAACTGCTCACTCCTTCCCGCCGCCCTCCTGCCTCCCGCGTTGCCCCACCTGAGCTGCCCCCTGACCTGCCTCCCCCTGCTCGCCGTAGCCCAATGGACAGCCTCCTGCGCCCCCGGGAGCGGCCTGGATCCACTGCCTCTGAGGTAGCCAGGGAGGGGACGGTCCATTCGCCTTAGCCCCCGGAGGCCCTAGGAGAGGGCCCGGAGAAGGGCCGGCTGATGGCGCTTTCTCCTGTGATGGCAGAGCTCAGCCTCTCTGGGCAGTGAGTGGGACCTCTCCGAGTCTTCCGTCAGCAGCCTGAGCCTGCGCCGCTCCTCAGAGCGCCTCAGTGACACCCCCGGGTCCTCGCAGCCGCCTTCCCTGGAAGTGAGGAGAACCCCTCCCACGCAGACATGCTTGAACGCACGCGTGCAGGCTCCCCGCCTTTCCCTGTCGAAGACGGGCTGGGGACGGTGGAAGGAGCCCGGGCTCCTGAGCCCGGGGGGGCGTCTTCTCGCCCGCAGATCCTGCTCTCCAGCTGCTCCTTATGCCATGCCTGTGACTCGCTGGTGTACGACGAGGAGATCATGGCCGGCTGGGCGCCCGATGACTCCAACCTCAACACCGTCTGCCCCTTCTGCGCTTGCCCCTTTGTGCCCCTGCTCAGTGTCCAGACCCTTGATTCCCGACCCAGGTGCCCCAAGCAGGGCGAGTGCTACGAGTGGGACAGGGAGGCGGAGGGTCAAGGGCTGACCCCCGATCTCCCCCTACAGTGCCCCCAGCCCCCAGCGTGCCCCTGCTGGTGCCAGTAACAGCAAAGATGCTCCCATCCCTGGGGGCCCAGGCCCTGTGCTCAGTGACCGCAGGCTCTGCCTTGCCCTGGATGAGCCCCAGCTCTGCAATGGGCACATGGGGGTAAGGGCTGGGCCAAGGGGGCACAAGGAATGGGTGTCTGTGTGTGTTGCCCAGTGGTGGGGCGTGACGGGCATTGAGGGCACGGGGCATCTCAGAAGCTGCCGAATGTGATGGCTCAGTGGGAAGCAGGGCTCCGAGGCTGGGGCCGGATCTGCCCTGTACCGCCCTCCTCCCTAAACTTTGTGCCTGACAGGCTGCCTCCCGGCGGGTTGAAGGTGGGGCCTGGGCGTACCTGAGCCCCCTGGTGCTGCGTAAGGAGCTGGAGTCGCTGGTGGAAAACGAGGGCAGTGAGGTGCTGGCATTGCCTGAGCTGCCTGCTGCCCACCCCATCATCTTCTGGAACCTTCTGTGGTATTTCCAGCGGCTGCGCCTGCCCAGTATTCTGCCATGCCTGGTGCTGGCCTCCTGTGATGGGCCCCCGCCCCCCCAGGTCAGTGCCCTCCTGTGGCCCCTGCACTGGGTGTTCGCCACCTCACCTCTGGGTCTGTCCCCTCAGGCCCCGTAGAGTAGAGCGAGCACAGGCCTGGGAGTCAGTTGCACCTGGTCCGACCCCTGGCCTTTTCACTTCACGCCCGAGCCTCCGTTTTTCTCATCTGTAAAGCAGCCTAAGTGCCCAGCGCCCAGGGTTGTTAAACGCCTGTGTAGGGCTTGGTACACAATCACCACGGCGACTCCTTGACATCTATTACTCGACCAACATCTATTGGACACCTTTCGGGGTCTGGGCAGTTTTTAGGCATGAGGAGTGCAGCAGCTCACAGAACAAAGTGGGTGCTCTCAGAGAGCTTGCACTCATGGGGATGAGGCTTTCTTTCCCTCTCCCCTTTGGCTATATCCCACAACGTCCCTCTGTTTCTTGGAGCTTCGCTGGTCCGTTTCCAGCCCTCTGCCTGCCGTCCCATGAGTCTGCCTCCTTTATCTTGGCTCCTTGCAGGCCCCACCTCCTTGGCTGACGCCTGACCCAGCATCCGTGCAGGTGCGGCTGCTGTGGGACGTCCTGACCCCCGATCCCAGTAGCTGCCCACCTCTCTACGTGCTCTGGAGGGTCCACAGTGAGTCTGGTGTTTGGCCTAGGCTGGGAAGGGGTGGGTCCCATGCCCAGAGGGCTCAGTGACCCTGGCCGCCTTCCTCTCTTTCACCCAGGCCAGATCCCGCAGCGGGTGGTATGGCCAGGCCCCATACCCGCACCCCTCAACCTGGAGCTGCTGGAGGCCGTGTTGCGCCATGTGGGTCTCAGTGAGGTGCACAAGGCTGTAGGGCTCCTGCTGGAAACTTTAGGGCCGCCTCCCACTGGCCTGCACTTGCAGAGGTATGGTGCTCCCATCTGGGAGGTCCCTGGCCTGTCCCCGGCCCCATACCCCCTTTCTCTCAGTCCACCCTCTGCCCCCACTGCAGGGGCATCTATCGTGAGATCCTATTCCTGACGATGGCTGCTCTAGGCAAGGACCGTGTGGACATAGGTAAGGGAGCGGGCAGGGGCCAAGGAGTGGAAGTATCTGGGGCCAGGGGTCAGTGGGGAGGGGGGGGGGGGTGTCGAATTGTAGTCTGTTGACATACGTCCACCCTCTTCCCTAGTGGCCTTCGACAAGAAATACAAGTCCGCCTTTAACAAGCTGGCCAGCAGCATGGGCAAGGAGGAGCTGAGGCAGCGACGGGCACAGATGCCCACCCCAAAGGCCATTGATTGCCGGAAGTGTTTCGGAGCACCTCTGGAATGCTAGGGACCCTTAAGCTTTCCTCTCCAGCCTGGGGTGGGGAGGTTGAGCGAGAGTGGATTCTAGAGCTACCCTGCCTTCCTACTCCTTTCACAGAGGAGTTGGGAACAGGCTGGGAAGCAGGCCCAGCCGTAGGCTCCAGATGTGGGCAGCAAGAGGGACCCACTGCTAACAAAAGTCACAATCCCCCTACCTCCGACCTGCCCGGTATGTTCACGCTGATGTTGTACGAGGCCTGGCAGGAGTTGGCACAGCTCTGTTCCTCCCCAGACTATACCAGGAACTCTCCTCCAGGGTACCCACAGATCTGCTCTGCCCTGGTCATTTTCCAAGTTTTTGTTTTAAAAAACAACTGGAAAGATACAGAGCTACTGAGCCTTTGCCCTGAATGGGAGGGAGGGATATCATTCCCCGCCAGGGATGGTCCTTCTTCCCTGGAACTGCTGAAGCAACCCAAAGCCCTCCATCATATCTTTCTACTTTAGCGTTTGTATTTTAAGTTATTTATTTTCGAGCCACAGCCCCCTTGCTCATGAGGTTCCTAGGGATGATGAGAAAGAGAAGGGAAATGGGGCACCATGGTTCAGTGGTTTGTAGCTCCTGGAAAGTCAGGAGGGAGCTGGAGGAGCCCCACGCTCCCCTCAGGAAGAACCGGGGCCCCGTCCAGTCCTAATCCTTCCCATTTCCTCCACTACGGGGAATGCTTCACCCACCCAGGGCCCTGACTGCGCAGTAAGGATTGTTCCTTGCAAAGTTTTGTTGGATGTAAATACAGTAAAAGCTGCTTCTGTCTTTTTCCTTCTGTCTCCTGCTCCCTGGATCTGGAATAATGGCAGGGGGTACCTCTCTCTGTCCCCTGGCTGCACATCCTCCTTTCCACCTTTCCATCCCTCGCAGCCTCAGGCACGCTTTCCCTGACCGGGTCTGGTACTGGTCCCTTGGGGCTCAGGGAGTTCTCGGGGCAGGAGAGGGGTGACTCTGGTGCTGGCTCTGGTGGTGCCAGTCTGTGTGGCACTTCCGGCCCTCCCACACAATCACCCCCTTGTCCCTCATTTGTACCCCACACAAAGGCTCCATTCTCCGGGGGCCTTGAGCTCATCTCTGCCTTCTTTCCTCCCCAGCTTTCGCCTCCCGGCTTCTCCAGTACCACCACAGAGAGGACAGCCCTCTCCCTAGTAGTTGGTGTTGGCAGCTCTCGAGCATCCTGGGAGCCCTGGCGGCCATCCTAGGCCCCCTCAGTTGCTCTAGCTGCAGGCAGTGCTCTTCCAACCAGGCTCTCAGCCTGGGGACAGGACCAGGAAGATAGGGCCAAGGATTAAGGAGCTCACTGAATGTGGGCAACAGGGAGACAGGCCCACTCAGAATTCTCCCTTTCCTGTATAATGAAATAAACACAGGAAGAAAGCTGCAAAACCAATCACCAAAGGGAATTAGCCAGCAAAAGGAGGGCAGAAGTGTCATTGGGGGGAATAACTTATATGCGGCTTTAGTGCGAATTCTCGGTGGGTGGAGAATAGTGGATGAAGCAAGAAGTAGTACTTCTGAATTCTGGAACGTCAAGCCACAGGACCGACCCTTCCCCATCCTGCGCTGAGTATGGCAGATGCTTTTCCTGTGTCCTAGAAGAGCTGCACAGGAGGGAAGCTGGGGCTTAGGAAATATCCTCTGTCCTGCCTGGGACTAGGAGGCTCCTTCTTCAGAGGGGAAGTCCTCACATCAGCCCAGGTTCTGATCGGACCTCACTCCCCAGAATCAACCTCTCCCCATCTCTGCAAGGGAGCAACTGCCTCCCTGACATCACAAGCGTATAGTATGCCCAGCAGAGAGCTGAACTGCTGGAATTATAGAGAGAATTTTAGGGCTCAGTCCCTACTTTAACAGAGCATACAATCTTAATGGTCTAGAGCGCCCCCTGATTCAGACAATAACGATAATCTTCCTTACCTCCAGCGTGTACTTCTCACCTTTGGGCCTCCTTGTGGAGACCTACAGTCAGATGGACAGGACTACAGAGTTCTTTAACCACAAGAATATCTGGAAATTCCAATAGCAAAGTACTCACTAGGGCATCTGACATCTCTGTCCTGTGGCCTAGGGAGCTGGATGAGGGAGGACATGCCTCATCCTGGCCCAGTTTCTCTTCCCAGACTTCAGAGTGTATACAGGCTTGGGTATGACAAAATTCTAATTAAATCTTGTCTCTGCCACTTACTAATTTTATTTTATCGGCCAAAATACTTAACTCCTGTGCCTCAGTTTTTCCTTGTGTGCAAACTGAGGAGATGGTTTATCAAGATGAATTATGCGATCCACATCAAGTGCTAAGCACACTCCATCAATGCTAGCTTCAAAAAGAAAACAAACAAGCAGGTAGTCTGCAGAGGGAATCGTCAGGTCCACTAAGACAGTGGCCTCACACTTGTCTTCCCTGGAGTTTGATCACTCCAGATTGAAAGTCCCCTCCACGGTCTGACTTTAATTCTGTTGAAAGGTATTTTCTCAGGCTTCACTAGTATCTTCGTCAGGCTGGCATCTTTAACCACCACGCTTCCCCTTCTCCTCCCAGCCCTTGAAGAACGGCTCGTCAGGCAGCAGAGAACGCACTGGAGTGATACTGGGCAAAGCAGCAGGTTAGGGAAAGAGAGCAGTGATTTTTCTGTCCCAATTACTGCTATGTCCCCAGCACATAGAGGGGTGTCTGGTAACACGATGGGCCCTCTGTCTTGTGTGTTAAATAAATGAGTCAGTGAAAGCATTAACATGAGAAATGATTTTCCGTGCAGGCAAGGCAGGTACAAGTCGAATACCAACGGAAGCTGAATTTAGGACTGAGGGAGTGAAACGGTTGCAAAAGCGCGGAAAACTCATGACAGTTACTGTCATGCCTCTTGAGTGCTTACTGTGTCCTTGGCACTGTCCTCAACATTTTAAATGTACTATCTTATAATCCTCACAATTCCCTCTGAGCTGGGCACTCTTCTCCATCATTCCCGCTTTACAGATAAGGGGACCGGGGCACAGAGAACAGAGGTTGGGTCACTCGCACCCAAATCATGCAGCCGGTAAGCGGTAGCGCCGGGGTCCAAGCCCAGGCAGGCTGCCTCCAGAGACCGCGTTCTTCCCGCGGACACTGCAAGAACCAAACAAGGCTTCCACCCGCTTACGGGGACATGGGGCCGGCCGTGTGTGTGTTCAGGGCGCACCTGTCTTCACGTGGCCCCTCCGCCCGCCGCCCTGCACGGCGCGACCCGCACAGGATCCGCGCACGCCGTAGCGCTTCTGGAGCCCGGCAGTTCTGGGTTCAAAGCGCCGCTTTCTCACTAATGCGCCGTCTGACCTTTGCAAGTTACTCAACGTTTCTGAGCCTGCGTCGTGATCTAGCGGGTTCGGAGTTCAGCGGTGCCACTCATCGTGGGCAACTCCGGGCACGTCGTGAGGTCCGCACCACGGCGCGGCCGGGTCCGCCGCTAGCGCCGGCCCCTCCCTGACACGCCGGCTCTGCGGGGCCGGGTCCCCGCCGCCGGCGCTGGGCTCGGCCGCACCCCGCTCCGCGCGCCCCGCCAGACCCCGACGCCGCCGCCCCGGCCGGGCCGCCGCAGGGCCGCGCGGGGCCCCACGCAGACCAGGAAGCCCGGGGCCTGCGGCGGACGCGGGCAGGCCACGCCCCGCGCAGACCGCGAGGCCCGAGCGCCTACGGCCACTGCCGTCGTCAAATTCCGGGATTCTGTCGCGACGAGCCACCACCCAACGCAGAGCCCAGTGCCGCTCGCCAGCCTCCATCTTTGGAGTCGGAAGAATGAGAGCGGGCCGAGAGGGAATCCCAGTTTGGGGATACTGGGGTACGGCGGCTGCCTGGGGACCAAAACGTCTCTAAGGTAAAGTTGCAGCCCGAAGCGATTTTTTGACCCCCGACACTTAATGGGCTGCTGAAGACCCGGATGTGTCTGGGACTGGCCGAGGTACCCATTAACGCGCCCCCGCTAGACCATCCCCCTCCTCCGCTTAGGGTTGGGTACTATGTACGCCAATCATCACTTCTCCAGCCACTCACTCTTCAAGGGTGGGGTGTAGTCCCGGCATCCCGCCTCCTATTGGTGTGGCCGAGAAGAAGAGGGCGGGGAGGCCGGCTGAGGGCGCCCAATGGGCGTCGTGGCGTGTGGGGAAGGCGGAGCCGAGGCGCTTGGCAGCTGCCCAATCAGCGTCCTTGTTTGTGTGGTGCCGCCGCCGGTGCAGCCGCCGCCGCCGCCGCCGCTGCCCCCCGTCTGTACCGCAGTGTCTGCTCCGCCCGCCCGCCCCGGCCCGGCCCGCCCCCCTCCCCCACCCCCGCCCCCGGTCCCGTCGGCGGGGCCCGGAACCCACTGTGCCGTCGCCTCCCTTTTTCGACGCCTCCGCCGCCGCCTGAGGAGGCGAGCTCGCCGGGAGTTACACCGCCACCGCCAGGTGAGGAGCTTTGGCCTAGGCCCGCCTGGCCGCCCGCCCGCCCGGCCGCCCGCCCGGGGGCGGCGAGCAGCGAGGACGGGAGGGAGCCGGGAGGAGGCGGCGGTGGCGGAGGTGGGGGAAGGGAAAGGTGGAGGGCGGGGGAGGGGAAGCGCCCGCGAGCCGACGCCCGCCCGCGCGCCCCCGCCTCGCGTCCCCCTCCCCCGCCCGGCCCCGCGCGCCCCCGCCTCGCGCTCCCCTCACCTCGTCCCCTCCCCCGCCCCGCGCGCGCGCGCCCCGGCCTTTCCCTTCGGCCTCGCGCGCCCCCGCCTCGCGTCCCTCCGTTGCTTCTGCTTTGACTCCTTCTCGCCTCCCGCGCGCCCCGTTTCCCCCGCCGTCCCCGCTTCCACTCCCTGCCTCCCGCCCGCCATGCTCCCCTCGGCTCCTCTCTAGCGCCCCCCCGGCTCTCCGCCCCCGGGGTGCCCTCGCGGATGTGGGGGCCGCTCCCCGCGCGCGGTCCGCGGTCCGCCGGCCGCCGGGACCCGCGGGGGGCCCTTCGGGCGCCGGGAGCGCGGGGGAATTCTCTTTATTGGGAAGGGATCGGGAGCGCAGAGCCGTGCGCCTTTATTCCGTCGGCCTGCGGTCGGAGACGGGGATGGTGTCCGCCGGGGTGGGCGCTGCTCTTCGGGCGACCCCGGCGCCCGTTTCCTCGGCGGGGCTCCTGGGGCGCCCCGGACGCGCCCCCCAGTTCAGTGCCCGGGCGTCGACGGAGCTGGGACTGGCCCTTCCGCACCGGAGCGGGGCTTAGCGTACTTGCTGCCCCTGCTCGCAGCGACGCCGAGGAGCTGGCCGGCCCTGTGGGGCCGTGCGCCGGCCCGGGACAGCTGCCCCCGGGGAGGCACGCTCGCCTCTTCGGGCTCTGCCCCCCGCAGACGCGCGATGTCGGCTCGCGGGGCTGGCGCGGAGGTGGAGGCGGCGGCGGTGGTGGGTGGCATGTGCCAGTGAGCCGAGCTGGCCGTCGGCCTTCCCTCCTGCTGTCATCCGCGGAGTCAGGTAGCCTCCCCAGAGCGAGTTTTCCCGTTTCCGATAAATGATTAATCGGAGGGCTTTTGTGTGCGTGGGAGAGAGCGGGGAGACGCTCACGGTGTTTCCGCGAAGGAAGGGAGCAGTTGCCTTCAGGCCAGACTGCAACAGACATTCGGACTAGCAGCAGCCGGGGTAAAGGCAGGTCTCGCAGAACCATGTCGAAGAGCTGACGCTTTTGAGTTTTTGGAACGTTTTTATTTATAAAAATTTAGTTTTTGGATAGGTGGTGCGTGCGTGTGATTCAAAGTGAGATCTTCCCTCTCGCTTCTCCAGTCGTCTAGCCCCACTCCCCGTTCACTGATTTCTGATTGTTTTCTGGCAGCAGCGTGTCTACATGTTGGAGATTAAGCGAACTTTTGCGTTTTCTTTGATGCACTGACCTAAACTCTTCCTTGAGGTCTGACTCCTATTTTTGGGGTCAGAGTGATCTTGCCAGAGTATTGTTCTGGAGCAGCATTTCTGTCTGTGCTTGATTGGTAAGGAGGCTACTTCTGGAGCTCCTAAAGGTGGTGCGAGGGAGGGCCTCGATGTACTTTAAAGGAAGGCCCGCATCTTTTGGAAGTAACTGCTTTTTTTGTAACTGATACTTAGTCTCTCTTTGGGGATGGACTGGGTCCAGGAGAGTCTTTCCTTGGGCTTTTTAAACAGGTAGGTTGTATGAATAATGAGTTAGTGGGAGTACTGATCTGCTAGTGCTGTCTTCCATTTTTAGAGGAATACAATTTTTTAGTCTAGAGGCAGTTGTAGTCCTCATGGTAAGGAATGGAGCAGATAAATATTCATCAGTAGGAATCAGAAGGCCAGACCTGTAGGCTGAGTGACCCAGTTTGAGAAGAGGGGAGGCTTATGGACTTTTGTCCTGCTTATTCCTTACTTAGAGAACACTTTCGATGAAGTGAGAGGAATTTGTAGCTGACAGCAGCATCCATCTTTATGACACTGGTTTGCCTCCCCTGCGTGTGATGTCTGTTAACTTCCTGTTTAGAGGCAGTCCGAAAAGGGTCAGAATAGAGGCTGCACTCAGATGCTTGTCTAGGAACGGCTTTGACCAGGTTCCCTGATCAGCCCTTCAAGTCTGAGTTCTGGCAGTAACTTTTACTGCTGTGTTTAGCATAAGGCCATGGGTGTTGGGAGGGAAGATGTGAAAAATTTTTTCTGAACCTCGTAGTCTTAAAGTATATTCAAAAGCCTGTGTGCTGCCCCCTTTCTTTCTTTCTTTCTTGGACAAATGTTTCCAATCCTCCCCACACACATACCTTTTTTTTTTTTTCCTTTCCCTGGCTTGGCCTGGCCAGACCTTCAGGTTGGATTTTGGTTACAGAACAGCAGAGTGGGGGTGGGAGGAGGGTGTCACTGTGTCAGTAATAGTATCCTGATCGAATGCTGGGACCCCTGGATTCATCCTAGCTTTCAGCAGTATGTTGTATGTAAACCAGGCCTCTTGCTTCAATTTACTGTTTCTTCCTTATCTTCCCCACCCACCGAGCTGGAGCTGCATGTGTAGGGGAACAGCAGTTGTGCTGTCCTGGTTTCTAGACTCTGGAGTATATTCCATGTCAGCCAACCCATTGGGATAAGCATGTTCACCAGCAGCCCCCCTGCACTCAGAATGCTTGTTGTTTGATTAAAACAACTGCTAGAGAAAGTGTAAGATTTGACCCTTAACTAGGACCAAGGAATTTTCTTTCCTAGACCTTTTACAGTACTTAAAGCCGTGCATCATCATGTATCAAGGCACAATAGCCAGGCATTTTCTGAATCGGTTTGGAGGGGAGGGGAGGGGAGGGGAGGGAAAAAAAAAAAAAAGACACACCCAGATTGACTATAAATCTAGCCCTGGCGTAAAGCTGTCCATTTCTTGCTCAGGAAAAGATCCAACCTATGAGACAATGCCACACAAAGTTGCAGTTCCCCTGCATTGGCTGAGCTTGGGAAAAGATACATAAGGAAGTTTGGTTTTTGTTGAAACGGTGTGCCTTTTAGGGGGAAACCTTCTATTAGCTGTATTGTTTGGTGTATCCTCAGTATCCCTGTGATACTTTCTGTAGGTACTGGTTGGGGATCTTGGTGGCTCCAGAGTCCATGAAGCAGAGAGACTCCTGTACCTGTGTAGTAATGATGAAAGCATTGAAGAATAGATCTGATTTGAAATGCTCCCTCTTCATGTTCCGTTTTTTCTTTTCAGGGATATCTGAAATATTCCTGTGTGGTTTTGAGTTCATTCAGTAGGAAAGGAGTGACCCAGGGTCATTAAAGAGCTAAGCTTGGGGCGCCTGGGTGGCTCAGTTGGTTAAGCGACTGCCTTCGGCTCAGGTCATGGTCCCAGGGTCCTGGGATCGAGTCCCGCATCGGGCTCCCTGCTCGGCGGGGAGTCTGCTTCTCCCTCTCCCCCTGCTTGTGTTTCTGCTCTCGCTGTCTCTGTCTCTGTCAAATAAATAAATAAAATCTTTAAAAAAAAAAAAAAAGAGCTAAGCTTGTCTACTTCTTAGATGGTATGTCCCTCAAAATCCTCTAATCTTTATCGTTGCCTTAAATTGGCCATTAACTGGCAAGAAACTACAGGAGTTTTGGGTTATAGTACCAAAAGCAACAGATGAATAAGAACACATTTTGTTACTTTTGAGGTATGAAACCGGTCAAATCCCAGACCTTAAAGTTATAATAACTGCAGAAACTTCTTTGACAACATATAAACTTTTGTTATTAATACTAACTAGTAAAGCATTAACAAAAATGACAATACCTCCACATTCCCGAGCCATTCTCTTTTTGCTTTTCACATCTGAATGGTATACATTTTTAAAATAATTCAGGTTACCGTTTCATGAACCTGAAAGTCATGCATTAAGCCTCCTGATCAAAGCTTTCTTGATCTTGTCTCGTTTTGGGGGAAGGTGGAATTTTTTTTTTTTTAAAGATTTTATTTATTTGAGAGAGAGAGTGAGCGAGAGCATGAGAGGGGAGAGGGTCAGAGGGAGAAACAGACTCCCCACTGAGTGGGGAGCCTGATGTGGGACTCGATCCCGGGACTCCAGGATCACCACCTGAGCTGAAGGCAGTTGTTTAACCAACTGAGCCACCCAGGCGCCCGGAAGGTGGAATTTTGAATTACCCAAAATATAGGCCAGAATGTCACTGGGATTTAGATTAGACATCAGAATTAATAAATTCCCATTATAGTTGTGAGGGATTAGAAATGTTAACCAGAGAGTTAGTGCATCTCTTCCTAGAAAATATTTACGGAGTTAGCTCTTTGAGAGCATTTAAATTCAGACTTCCTGGGTGGGAGGTTGTAGGGCTAGTAAGTGGCAAATTGGAATAGTAGAACACAGGTGTAGAGAATCTAGAAATCCTGAGTCAAATCCTAGTTTTGCCATTTATTAGCTATGATTTTGGATAAGGCTTCTAATATTTTTTCCCCATCCTACCCACCCTCGTCAGGCTCCTAATTTTTAAATTCCCATTTCTCTGAGAGTAAAAGTCTGTTCTTACAGTGGCCTGTAGGGTCTTGCATGATCTGCGCTTCCCCACCCCTTCTCTGTTGATCTCTGTCATCCTTCCTCTTGTTTACTCCATTCCAGCCACCTTGACTTGTTTCTTAAATACATCAGTCACACTCTTTATCTTAGGGCCATTGCACTAGCTATTCCCTCTGTGGGAAATAGCTAGTTTTTCCCACAGAGATAATACAAATGATTAATTTCTTTACCTTCAAGTCTTTGCTTAAGTCACCTTTTCAGTGAGATCTCTTAAAATTGTGCCTTCAACTCTCACCTCTCACTCCTGATTTTTCCATGCTCTATTTTCTTTTTTTACAGTGCTTATGACATATTTGTTACATTTATTGCTTTTTTAATTTAAATTCAATTAGCCAACTTAGAGTACATGTTTAGTTTCAGATGTAGAGTTCAGTAATTTATGAGTTGCTTATAACACCC